TTTAAATTCAAAAAATTTAATTTAAGTTTAATTTTTCATTGAAAAAAATTATTTTTTTTAAATTTAAATTTTCAAAAATTTTATTTTTGATTTAATATTTTTTTAAAATTAAGATGTGCTACTTCTAAATAATGATATCTTAAGAACACTCTAATATTATAAAATTTGATACGATTATTTTTATTTAATGTTCGCAGCACCGAGAACCTAAAAGCCATTTCATCCACTGATCGAGAAATTTTGCAAATCATAGAAATAGTCGCAAAAAATACTGAATGAGTCATACACTCCAAGTAGCAGCGAATTTTTTGCCTTTGTTTCTTGTTGGCTTTTCTTAGCTGAAGATTTCTTCAAAAGTCGTCTCCTGAAAGAACTTGAATCTCATTGAGTAGCAGACTATTTGCACTTTAACAGAAGGATTTTCTAAGCAATTTTTTTAGAACTAAATTATTTGTTCGTTCCAAGTGCGCCTTCTATCCATCATTTAGATCTTATAATTTCTTAGTAGAGCATACATTTACGTAATTAATTCAATAACACACTAAACTAAATCACTTAATTCAATTAATGTATCTTCTCGTCTATATGCAACGAAATGATCGCGACGAATTGATCGGTCACCTACGAACTGTCTTGAACCTCTCGTCTTCAGACAGTTTGATTTTTCCCATTCTTCTCTTTTGAAATAAATCGCGAAAATTTCTCATATTCAGGCACTATTTCAAGAAAAGTATCTGTACCAATAGTGATCCACCAATGCACCTTCTACTCTCATTACTATCTTACTGAGGTAGCTCAGTCAATGGTGCTGCAAGCGTTGAACAAACGATTTATATGCACAGTTGCATTACTGATCAATAATGGTACATTCATCCCATGCAATCGTTAAGGCTCTTTTGAGCTCTAGCAACCCCTGCGTCGTTATGTCTAAATGATCAGTCTTCAGTTTCACATATTAACTCATTAGATATAGGATAAAGAGAGAGAGAATTATACATGCATTTTCTTGCACACAAGTTGTCAATCAAACTTAATGTTTACAAGAATCAATCGACAACATAACCAACATTGTGAATAAATAGGAGAACGGCACAAAAGAATTGACGTGATCTATCAATATTCCGACAAATTACGCGTTCGTCAGAATTGAATAAAATCGAACGATCGATTTTTCATTTTTCTTTTCGGTTTCTGATACACATTCAAAGGCTTCCTGTGTTTTCATGCATTGCTAGATATAACTACAGGCTTTTCATTTCGTTGTAATGGATATGATCCACAGAAAAGACGACAGTTTTTCTCCAAGTATTATCACTCATTTAGTCTTCGTCATGCTTTATCTACGTTTTCCAAAGACTCTTTGATTATTCCGAACCGTCTCCACAACACTATGAATTGTATGTGTGAAGGTATGTGAACGATGAAGAAATAAACTTAAGAAAGATTTGAGTTTCACTTGAGTCTGTAGATCACTCTTTTTTTGTTGTCTTACTGGGTATCGGTGGACAGAGTTGTAGATTGAAATCCGGTACCGAATAACAAACAGGAAGATTATGACATCGAGGATGATGAACACATCTATGGTAAGGTTCGCGACAAAAGTTGTTTGATCGTTCGTATGGAACTAGCTCAGAAAAATCCACGAATGCATCGCCACAAATACCAGTGTTAATAGCACCTGCTATATGGAAGCAAGCACACGCATTATTGGGCGAAGATCGATCATATTGAGATATACCATGACAAAATTGAGATTTCACTCAAACTAGCCAAATATTCAATTAATAGCAAGATATGTAAGACGAAACAAGAATCAAACCTGTGAGATTTAACAGAAAGATTGTTCAAGGTAAGATAAGTAGGAAATAATAGATTTTAGAATTGCCCGAATAGAACGAGTACGAAACAACGAATCACTGTTGAAACCATTGCTTGCATTAAAATGCGAAAGAATAGCAGCGGCATCCATCTTTATATCTAATGAATAGATCATTTTTTGCGCATTCACCGAAAGTGAAGAAGAGCGTCGCGTAATCTTTCGATAAATAGAAATTCAATATTGCTCCAACACTTACCCAAGTAATTAGTTTTTCTCCAAAAAGATACTCTTTATAGAAGGAAAAAAAAGTATCATTAAAGCACAATGAGATTGTTTCGGCAGTACAATCATCCCATATGCTCGTGCCATCATCCGAAATAACGGGTATTGTTATTGTGGTTGTGGAAGTTGGTTCGATTGGGTGTGAGCGAGTAGAAGACCCACATCCACACCACCTACCCACATTCACACCCATAATCAACACCCATTCTCTGACTTTCTGTTGCTTTGCTAACACTTTTCTAGATATGTATCCTAATAGATGGGATGAAGCTTTTTCGCACTCTTCCTCATTATGCGCGGCTTCAAAGTGTTTATCATGAACGAAACACATTTATCGGTTTTTCCTCTGTGTTTTTCGTCGCGAACATATTTTGCTGAGTCGCAGTGGATTCTCCTGTAATCCTAAGAGTATTGATGCAAGTCCCAAGCATTTCTAACTTGACACAATGCTCTTCGTTGGCACTTAGTTCAATGAATGAGTCGTCTACAGTCTTTTATCTTCCTTGTAGTCTGCAATTTCTGGATGTCTAATGCTGCCCGCCCTGATCTAGACACATTGATAGGCGAGCTAATTGTTCTGAGAAGCTGTCTTACGGGTCCTTATGTGAGTTTAAATAGGGTACTGATATTCTCATGATTTTTATGTCTCGCTTGAAATTTTCTGCTGACCTCATGATAAATGACTGGGAAATGGTGGCACCTATACGTTACCATCATCCAGAGCTGGGCAAGTCAAGTCAAGTCTGACCTGACTTGACTTGGTCGAAAAAAGTTTTAGGTGTGGCTTGACTTGTGACTTGAGAAGCCTCTGACTTGCCCAGTTTTGTTTCTTATAGGCATTGTCTTTTACCATGAAATAGGATTCTGAGACTATAAAAATTGATCCTCATTTGATAAGTGCTAGTAAATGTTATGTTCTGCCTAACTTTTAATCGGACTTGACTTAACTTCTAGGAAGAAATTTCGAGGAATGACTTGACTTGACTTGACTTGTGACTTGAAAAACCTTCAACTTGCCCAGCTCTGCCATCATCCGTGTTTGCCAGAGCAGAATTTTTTTCCTCTATGACTCTCATGGATTTGCACATCTCTTGAAGCTTTCAGCTTTAATACTGACAGGTTTCTCTATTGTCCCAACTTTTGTGTGGTTTTTTCTATGAATTGCTCCATGATCCTTAGGTTTTCAACACCTTTCTGACGAATTTATGGCAAGGTCGAATTCTTCCACACAGACTTCGAAGTACGGTCATTCAGCCCAAAGTTATTTATCTGAGTTTCGCTCATAGTCATTCGGGAATATGATTGTGTTGTCAGGGTGTCGGTGTGGATCTTTTATCTTCCCACACCCATCAATCGGATTCTAGGTGTATCCAACGGTTTCGAGCTGTCGAAGACGACTACTTCTCATTTCAGTATTTGTTGAACCAGAATGTTTCAATTAAGGAAATAATACAGAAGAAATTTCAAAATATTAAGAAGACAATTCTTTATCACAACTCTTTGATATATGCAGAGCAGGTAATACTTTTCAATGAAATTTTTTGAAATTAGTTCCAACACTACTATTCGTCATATAGTATCTGGAGTTCTTTTTTTAACGTTTTTTCTGAAAGACATAATCTCTGTTACATTCTGCCATCTATCGGATTTGTTTTCTATGTTAAATAAAAACGACATAGAAGATAAAAATAGAACCAATCGAAATTATTTTTGTCTTGCATCAGTCTTGTGTTCGAATCTGATTCAAAGTATTTTTCTAACATAAAACAAAAAAGAATGAATTGGAATCATTTTCGAGATATTCTTATTGATGAATTATCTGTCGAAGGTCTCGATGGTTGCACATTCAATCATTTATATGCTATAGTTAAACCTTTATTTCTTTCGATTAATAATCAAATATCTACTGATATCTATCTTCGTTCATATATATGGAAAATTCTGTTATCATGTTCATGTATTGAATTCTATGAATTACCAGAAAAACTTCATGCAACATCATCATCAAATGATCTTGCAATTGAAAATCTTGAATTAAATCATCGTGGTTATTCATCAACATATTATCAACGAAAAATAATATCAAATAAATCTGATTATTTAATTCTTGATAATATTCAAAATATTGATCGTATACATCTTGTTGTTGAACAAAATGTTCGTGAATTTCGTATTATACAAGGTCGATATGATACAAAACAATTATTTAGTAAATATGAATATGCATTACTTGAATGTATATGTAAAACACGT